CAGAATACAAGCAAAATTATATTCTATTATAGTATTCTAAACTAAAACTATTGAAAAACACAAAATCAATTTTGTATGAGTAAAGATTCTAACATATGAACTTAGCTTTGCAGTAAACAACATATTTTTAAACGTTTTTAAAGAGATTCTAGATTTCTAGTGATTTCTGAATTGTTTTCAATCTAAAACAATGAGTGAAAGTGATATTTGGTCCCCGGGGATCTATAGACGGTCTCTATAATGCTCTGAGGAGGGGCTGTTACTCACAGTCAAGGAATTCAGTAAGCGTTACTTTTAATTAAAATCGTTTCGACAAACAGCACATATCGTACAGTTGAAATAAGAGAAATATTGTAGATAACCTTGAAGATTAAACATGACGCATAACATAAAAGAATAATAAAATTTAATAGATGTAGTAGAAATATCTACTTGCTTATATGGAATTTCACCAACTACAGAATTACATTCAACGAATGCCAATATCTTCTGTACATTACCGATCACAGATATAATCCTTTGCCAAATTGTATGCGATCTGAATCAAAACCTTTTATTTTTCTGTTTAGTCAATTTAAAATGATTTCATGCATCACTTAACAAGATCCTGTTGATTGATGATGCATGAAATCATTTCCGTACATATAATACCAATGTTCAATACACAAGTGTTTCCTGCAATATTGGGACCAACAAAGAGTGTATCAACTACATTTGATATCACAGAGAACTCATTAGCTATATAGACTACTTTACTACTATCTAGGTCAATCTCAATTAATCTGTGATAGCACCATTTCATATTTTCGAAATTTATTCAACTTTTGTATATCATAAACATTATTATCCAGATAAATTTCGTTGTATTTCATTAGTATGTACATTGATTCAAAATCGAATGTACATAACATAAGGTACCAAAATTTTGTTCATGAAAGCTGCTAGTAATTAATATATTCAATTTGATTTCGATTTGTCTATGTAAATTTGGTTATTTTTGTTCAACTTGTCGCTAATATTTTCTCGCAAGAGTTGACGTATTTATGTAAAAGTAAATTTTATCGCATTTCTTTGCTAAACGGACTGATCGTATACAAACGATATTGCTAAAATCAAATCTTGTTTTATTCCATCTGAAATAACAAATAATATTATGCACGAGAAGATGATTTACTCCTACATTCTTTTCAAGTCCATCGAAAACAGACGATAGTCGACGAGAAAAAGGCTTCCACTCTTTCCTTTCCTGTTTGTACTTAACGATATGACGAGATATGATAAAGAGTAAGTAAAAGGTTCTTTTAAACATGCATAAGTTCTTTTGGAGATGAATGAATACCCAAAGAAATGCTGATTAGTGCTAAGTATCGATTCTCTTGAGAATTGGCCTAATGCTATCAATATTTGATCCTTGAGTCTAAAAATTTGGTGGTAACCGTAGTTCAACATATTTTCTCATCTAGTCTCATCAGAATTTGTTCATTCAAAGGCGGGGGATAAGTTCACAAAAAAATCCGTTTTTCAGAAAACAAAACCAGGAAGAGTTAAAAACCGAAGCAAATATCACATTCATGATTTGCCACTTGTCGATCTTTTCTCATATAAATAATGTCAGTAGTCTTTATTTTAAATCATTAATATTTCTAATATGAAATTTTTACAGCACATATCAGAGTAATTGATACATAAATATCTAGATGTCCATCAGCGTGGTAAAGTTAGCTTTTAGAATAGAATGCAAGAAACGCGTGAGAACGTGTGAAATAATCTATTTTGAAGCATTTTAAAAAATTCAAAACGAAGTCAGATTCCATCCAGGATACTCTTTAAAAGAATTTCGTATCGTACAGAATCAAAAAAGGGTATTTTCATGCCGGGATACTCTTTTCAGAATCTCTGAGTAACAAATGCAGATACCCTCTTTTTTTTGATACTGTGGAACGAGGAATATTCTCAAAGAGATTTTACAAAACCAAAAAGGGTACATTGAAATACCAAAATGGCATTGTAAAATACGATTAAGGGTATTTCTAATTCCACAGAACCAAACGAAAGAGGGCAGGTTCTCAGAAAATGCCTGTAACTCACGAATTAAAAGAGATAGAGAGATGGGATTTGTGCAGTTTGAGAGAGCTCACTTCAGTAGATAGAATCAACACTTTAAAATTCAAAATCCGCTTTTGCTGGGAAATGGACAGCTTCGAACTTCGTACAGCAGGATTTACTAAGGTAGATCTGATTTTTCCACAGTTTCACTTCCCATTATCTCCTCTGTCGGACGCCGAAGTTCGCATGGTTCTAGCTCTTACCGTTAAAAAGTTACTCAAAAAATACTGGGATCGTTCTTTTTATGAACGGATAGTAGGCTAGATCAACTAGCTCAGTTTCTGATAAATTTCTATCATCTTTTTTCATTCTAAATTTAATTTTTAACAGAGATATTTTGTTTTGCTTTTGTTGCGTAGTATAATCTCGTCAACTAATTAGGTTGATTATATTTGTGAATTGAATATCATATGTTTCTTGACTGTTTGTAGACTAGCACGTTATAGAAAAAAAAAAAATTTTTAAGATCTCAGGTTTTTAAAAATGCGGATAAAATTCGATTTATATTCTGTCTGTCCGAATAAAATCAGACTAGAATATTTCTCTTAAATGAGACATGATAGAACTAAAATGACTTCGTAGAACATTTATATCTACTTTCAAACAACATGGGAGGGTTACCTTAATTCCGTTACAAAAAACTTTACGTTTAATAAATTTCGTTTTCAAAATTCATTTTTTTAGATAAAACAAAATTTATTACGGAACGGTTCAGCTGTGATTTGGTTTTATAACAATTCATGTGAAGTAATCGAAGATTCAAGAAATTATTTTTGTTAAGTCAAATCATCACATTTCTAAGTTGTTTGTTAGCTTATGCGCACGCCAACACCTATGTCGATATTTACCATGTCGATGATAGATATGTACAATTGGATAGTTGCCTTCATTGACAAAACTCAACGTCTTTTAAAGAGCGAAACAGCCTGACCTTAGGTATGCACCAATATCAGTAATTATACTGGTTGACTGGTCAGTTTTTACTGAGCACCCAAACGGTTTGGTAATCAAATAATAGAATAAACTCCTATAAACTCCTCAGCTCTAGCAAATGGTTTTTAAAGAATTAAATTCCCTACCAATAATGTGCCAGACTTGCCCTCTGAAATGCTTGCTTCATGGAAAAAATGGAATTTATTCTACTATTTGATCACCAAACTGTCTGGGTGCCCAGTTAACTGGTACAAGCTAGTCTGATCATAGATCAAAAATCTTTCATTTCTCTTAAGCAGTAACAGAAATTTTTAAGGAATTATATATATATATATATGATAAATATAAAGTCGTTATATATTTTTTAGTTATATTTGACTTACCACTATATATCACTCCTCCTCTTGCTTGTAGTTAGTCTATATTTGTTCTTAATATTTAAAACTTTTTATAGCACTCTGGTGTAGACCTAGTTGTGCGTACCATTTTGTGGAAATAAACTGTTTAAATCAAATGTACTTCTGTTTTTGTTACTGCACATCTTTGGATCTGTTTTGCTTTTTTATGCTTTCAAAAATAATAATCAACAAAATGTTGAAAAAGTCATCATCTAGGGTACAAAAGGAAGCCGTACAAACACTTCATCATCGTGTACAGATCCCAATCAGCTGAAATATGCTCAAACCAAAACGTATCAACAAAGCATTTTCATTCACTTCACAATAATATTTAAAAATAACAAAAGAAAAGTTACACGCCAAAAGAACTAATTTTAACACAGAATTTTATACAAAGCCAAGAACGTTTTGCTAAACTAGATGTCACTGAGAATCAAGTCCAAGTCTGTAATTTTTAAGCTTTAAGTCCACTGTCAAGTTCGACTTATCTTTTGTTTCTAATTAGTAAATACACATAAATCTAATTATTTTAAAATCTAAAAAGCTAAAAAAGAACCAACCTTTTCTTTTCTTCTAGAAAACTGAGTTTAACCGTATTCTGTCGAAAATCCATTGATTTTGAATACTTTTTCTTCGTCTCCTTTCTTTGTTATGTGTACAACAAACTATCACAGACGACGTTCCACTGTCTTTCGGATTCTATTAGCGGTTAACAAGGCTATTTTTTAGGTGCTATCTAATTATCTCAAATACACGAAGTCTATCGGGGAATTTTTGAATAGTTTTCGTGTTTTCCGATAGAGAAATTCGAAAAAAATCGAAATTGTTGAATAGAATGGAAAGGAATCTCATTCGACTCAGTTTTTGATGGTGATTCCGAATGTCACATTAGTTTTCAAAAAGAATGAAATTCGATGATTGAAACCGCAAAATACGAGCGTATTTCCGTATTTGCCGTCATTGATTTAGAAAAAACGAGTTTTCTCGGCAACGGAACAAATTAAAGAAAAAGCTATGCATACTTTTAAAGCTCGTTAAATGGCGATTCTAATGAAATAAAAATCTCGGCTCCATCTCTTCACAAAAAAAAACTTACAAAATTGTTTTGAATTTTTACAGGGTAAGTTCAAGACATCCATACTGGATAGACCTTTGACTTCAACCTCGATCAAGCATCATTCTTATACTGTGTTTTTAGTCCTGAATCTGAAAAAAATACTTTCAAGAAGTCAGAAGAGCGAACAAGAAAAAAAATTGAATTTTTTTGAAACTAAAGGGTTTTTCGAAATTTTAGACCCTTCGAATTTTTTCAATTTTTTTTCCTTAAAAAGTTTTTAAAAAAATTAAAAATCGGTTTTTCTTACTCAACTCGATGTGCTCTATCCAACTATATGGAAAAAAAATGGAAAAAAAAATTCTGCTGCAAGTTTTCATTTTACTATCTTTCAGAATAGTACCGAGCTAATTTGCTATAACATAACAAGACCATTTAATTTTATTATGTTTTAACAGCGTATATCTCTCGGTGTCTTGTTGTACTAAATTAGACTACGTAATTCTATTCTATGATTTTTGTGACGATGATGATGATATGTTTTTGAGTAAACCTAATTTCTTGATAGCTTCATATTGTGAGGGAATTTCCATAAGTGCATGTAATGCAAAATCTGAGTCCATATTTCCTTCTGTTACTCGTAATATATCATTGTAATTAACAAATTGAAAATTATCAAATTGTCTTGTTGGCAGTGAATCATCAAATTCTTCCATCATATCCCACGGTCCATCGCCAACACCAATCATAACAATCGACAACGGATAAGCTGAAGCTTCAACAATTGCATCCTTTGTTTGACGCTCATTTGTTACTTGACCATCCGCAACAATGACCAATATATGATACTAAAATTTTGAAATTTAGTATTTATTTAAAACTAAAGTTTATATCTTGTTTACCTGTTTTGTTTTTTTCACAATTCTAATTGCTTCTTTGATTAATGGACCAAAATTGGTTGGTCCACTCATTTTTACTTTTGGAGTGATTTTATTGTAAGCGTCTAAAACTCCCATGAATCCTTTACAATAACTTCCATCAGGCTATGAAGAATATATACAATAAGATTATTTAATTATTGTAAGAATATTTTCAATTAATCTTACACGTAAAGGAAATATTTTTCGATCTAATGTTGTTCGATCACCAAAGCCAAACGCTGGAATGAGTGTATCTGAATCAAATTTTTCTAATGTTCGACCAATTATTGTAATTACCTAAAATATAATGATGGAAAATTCTAGTATAAACAGGAAATTTGACATATATTAAACACAAACATCTGATGTTCAAGACTAATCTTACACTCTGATATGGATTTAATATTCCATCTTGAATATCATGCAAAGATCGACCATTGAATGATTGTTTACCAGTTTCTATGTTGCTTATTGTATAATCAATTCCTGGTATAAAGAGATTAGAAGTTAGACACAAAACAATGTAGATAACAGCATGTTTTAGTGATCAACAACAATATTGTTAATGGTCCGTAAACAACTGTTAATTAATTGTTTATTAACTATCAACTAGGGACAAGAAAAACGGTCCGTTAACAATAATAAAATAAAGAGCTTAGCCTCGATTGGTCTCTCTGTCAATTTACACTTTTTTTATACAATTCTTAACAGCTTTAAAGTAAAGAAATCACACGGTCCATGGTACAAAAGGAATATTGTCCCTAATGCGATACGCACTCGTTTTTTTTGCGTGATCCTATTTTCCCTGTTTTGCCACATTTAAAAGACTTAATTCTACTTCAATCAATAAACCCTTTTCATAATTACACAACAATTCTTTCAGTTTTTCATCAATATCGTCGTATAATTTCTTACACTTTCGAATTTAAATGTCAGACTCCAGTACTTAATAAATGGTGGTAAACAAGTTCATTTCTCAACAAGCGAATAAATTCAAAAATATGTGGATGTACTGAAGAGACGCTTTCGGGTCAATAACTGAAGCATTCGACATAATCTTTCGTTCGAGAGAGATTATTTATGATATACGTAAAACTTATATAGTTTTAAAAAGTAAAACATTTTCGGGATGTATTGAGTTAAAAATTGGAGACAATAGCAAATAGAGTACCATTAACTTGTATCATCAGTTGGATGTTTATTAACGATTAACTTAAATAGCTGTAAATGAAGTATTTTGGGATGTCTGTTGCAATTAAACTCGAATCACTTACCGAATATCAACTGACTTTTATCTAAACCCACTTGTTCAACAGCATCATTTAATTCTTCTAATGTATTATAATCATCTTTGATAGCATTCAAATGGGGTGCACAAAATTTTCCTATACGAATAAAAATATTATACATTTCGTTATCAAATAACAATCAAAATTACTCACTAATGATAACTGGACGACTATTATCGGGTTCAATGAGTGCTTGTGTTGCTACATCTTCAAATTGAGCATGTACTCCCACTGTAAACGGTTGTTTTTGTTGTTGATGACTGTGAATACGGGATGATAATCCACTCAAATCAACAGTTTCTGCTTTTTCAACTTTTTCCCATGAATTATTATTATTTTCGTTATTTTTAAAATTATTTGGTGATATTTGTACGTAGTCTGCATCTGTTGAACTAGTAATTTCCTCTGGTAATTTCCTTTGACGTAGTTGTGGTGCACTATCGATGGTTAGTGTAAACCTTGAGTCAGTTTCTGAAAATAGAAACTCATCTCATTTCTCTTAATGAAGTTTAGTCAATCATTAGATAAGAAAGTATAAAATAGATCATTTATTATAGAAATACGTATGAGGAGAAATTTATGTAGGAAGAAAGACACATATTGGTAATAAGAAAAGTGACATATCTATAATCTTTACTTAATGGGTACTATCCGACTTATAACCAATAATATTGACATTTCTTCTTCTTGTTTTCTTCGTGCACATAATCCAATAAGAGGTAAATCATTGATGCAAACATACATTGACAGGTGTCGCGAGTATTTATTAGATCTATCTCTCACTTCTCACATTTCGATTGACATGTCTACAGCTATAACAGCATTGTTCATTTGTTTTATGCATTTTAGTCGATAATACACAATTATTTTTATTTACAGTATCGTCATGATCAAGAAAACAATCACTTCAAACAGACGTTATTATGTATCGGTTATTCAATTACTCATGAACTTACCATCTGTTGTCGGTGGTGGTTGTGGTGATGGTGGTGGTGCGGGTGGTGATGTTGCTTTAATAGAATAATTGAAATTTGCTGATGATGATGTTGGAGTTAATGTTGAAGGATTTTCCTCTGTAATTGTTGCTAATACATTGTAGTGATGATGTTCAGATGGATGTGGATAGAGCGTAAGAGATGGATGTTCTTTTTCGTCAGTTAAAGATGATAAGGATGATTTTCTTTCATTATTATCACCTTGATCATCTTCTGATTCTGACTGACGTTTACGACGATAAAACCAATAGATAATTAACAGTAAGACGATTGAGAGAACAAATATTAATTTAAAATTGTAAAAATACGACCAAAGTGATGAAGTACGCTAGAAATAGAAACTAAAAAAAGTTAGTCAATAATAAACAAAGTGTTCATTATTGTTACCTGTAAATCTGACTTATATCTTAAACATCTGCCTTTTGATACTGTCGTTGTTGTTGTCATCGCTTCACTGCTATGCTAGAAAATAATAAGAAATGTATATTATCGATATATATCAATCATCAATTCAATTTAGTCAAGGTCATAAAAGAATAAAAATGATTAATATTAATGATTTTTGATATCTAAATCTAAAGAGAATACTATAGTTATATACATTCATTATTATAAATTTATAATAATGAATACATGTACGAAACACAGTATACTAGAATTCAGATAATCAAAATAGAAAAGCTTTCCCTATAAAGACGTAATTATTTTGATGATAATTTGAAAAATGGAATAATATTTAAGTGTAATAGAATGTAATAATCAAAGTTTACCACGCTTACTATGTACTAAATCTAGAATTATCATACTCTTTTTATGATGTAGAAAAACTGAAAACAATGTAAAAATTGAGACACAACTATTTATCACTACCAAAATCAAGAAACAAATTATTTCTTAGTAAAAAAGTCAACTGACAATTAAATTTAGCATTTGGTTTTACACTATTTAAACTGAAATGATGTAAAAAGAAAGTCTATTGCTAAATATCTTTGTATCTAATATACTATGTTTTTTTTCCTGTACACTGTGTGTTATACACTGATGTATGAAACATACCGCACTATCTCTTCTTTGTATTGTCCTAAACAGATGTATGTATATACAGAATATTTCTCAATGTTATATATTAAACTAGGAAAGATAGTGTCGATGATGTTTGAACTGATTAGGAGACCACATATTTTGAGTCATATGAAATGCGAAATGTTAAACCATTTTTTTGCTTGTATTTGTATACTCTACTTACACGTTATAATGAATAAGCAAGGTTTTGCAAATATCTGCTAACAAACATGAGATAGATGTAGTCTAACAACAAGAAATAAATGAATGAATATACTTCTCTTTTCCCAAATCGATGGCAATAATAATATCTAACAAAGACGTCAGTAATTCATTAATACATGAAAACAATCATCTATTTCGCGTTGATAGAACAAGTACAACAACAACAAACAAGACTCTCCGTTTGATCAATCAATAATGATTGAGGGTGAGAAGATCTTATTGTATATAGAAATGATAATAAATAGATAGATGTTGTTGTTGTTCGAATGAGAGAGAGAGAGAGATAGAGAGAGAAAATGACGTGGTATTATGATGTCTATTTGTATATTTATAGACAAACGCACATGTTTAGTAATAGAAAAAGTTTTTTTTTAGAAAAAAACAAGAGAAAGAGAAAAATACGCAGATGTTTTTGTAAAAATACATAACTACAACAACAACAGAAAAAAAAACGAAATCCTTTTTCCTAACTTCTGCTTATTCATAGCAATACTCTAATGATATATTATCATCACGTTCCAATACATTCATCATCCTGTCGCTGTTAGTTTGTAGATAATAAGAGAACAAAAATATAATGGTATAAGAATATCAGGAAATGTACATTTTCTTTGATTTATTCTTCTTTCACAGCATGAAGTCACCAAACGTTGTACACTGCATTCTTTTTCGCTTCGGCTATTTATTAAAAATTGCACAGTATGATTCTGTAGGTGCTCAGTTCGTTTAGATGACTACTGAAAGTCAAACGTTGTACACAAAAGTTTAGGATATAGCCTTGAATCTCAATTAATTTGAGATATTTTGTCAACATTTATGTTTTCTATTCTTCAATGGAAGAAAATACATACATACATTAGGTGTGGAGGAGTTATTAACATGATTAAAAGATATCTTAATTCTTGCTCTAATTTATCAACTATTACTAACAATCTATTACTATTACTAATCGAGGAAAGACGCAAAATATAATGTTTTGTCAACATTTTTGAAAGACGTTTTAAATTATGAAAACATTCTGAGTTATTTTTTCATTCACTAAAACCGTTTTCAAAATTATTTTTCCTAAAAAGGATAGGAATATTTTGTTCACCACTATAGATACATCCATCACTTGTAAACAATTTTTCTTCCATCATAAACTTTTAAGTTTCACCGCTCATTCTAATGAAATGAACAGAACTAATATAAATCAGCAAACGTTTTTTATCTATTTCTCTTCGTCTAATAGCATAAACTATATAACTAATCAACATTTATTCCGTTTTATTTTTTTACAAAATCAGTCATTGTGCACCTGTACACATAATAAAATCAGAATTAGAATCTCTAAAAAAATATCTTGTTGCGAGGTTTTATGAAATTTTATAAGATATTTCCTTAGTAATTTGGTAACGTTCTGGAAATATGGTTTTAATAAGATGTTTTTATAAGATCTTATGAGACGCCTCTCATTTACGAATTTATCATTGATAGGCTGTTGTATTTTGAGACATTGATGTTTATACAGTATAATTCAATATATGAGAATTAAATTTGTTTACTTAAAGAGATATAAAGTGTTTCATGAACTGACTCTATTCTTTTAAAACAACAATGAGAATAACCGTAACTTTGCGAGGTGCAGGAAAAGTTTTCATTTTTAAAAAACAAAAACGACATAATCCTGCGTTTTTTTAATCATTCAAAGAGATTTTTAAGTGTTTAATAAGCGTGTAACTAGAATTCTAATTATAGTTATAAACATTAGATTCGATCAGAAATATATAAAAACATGTTTTTCTACCAAAACGGTTAATTATCCCTCTTATTGCCTCTATGTTTGTGTACTTTACACACTTTATAATCAATTCAATTACATTCGCATTCTTATAAAACAAACAACGTTGAAGACTCTTATCGGAATAACTGGAATCAGTATGTGTACAGCCTGTCAGTCAAGTTTTACAAAAGTTATAGTTGTTCATCCTCTTCAGTTGAGAATGTCTTCTTCTTTAACTAGAATAATTTTCTTTAAAAGAACAATCCATCAAAGTCTAATAGTCAGATAGATAGAGATCTTTGTTTCTTCGAAGAAACAAAGTATCTTTTTACGAGATGCTTCTGTTCCATAAACTTTTAAGAGAGTTAGTTACTATAATATATTTGTTTGATTTTAAGGAAAACTAGTCGATATCATTGTTATTCGATGTACTTATCATGAATACACGTTCCTTATATTAGTCTAATTCAAAGAAAGATAAAAATTTAAACTCAGAAAAAATTACAAAATTCAGAGAATCAGAAACGAGTGAGAAGAAAAAAGCCCAAAAATTAAAATTTTTCTACCAGAATTAGAAATTTTGAGATTGCTGATTGCATAGTGGAACTTTTTTGTAACTAAGATCTTTCTAGTAAAATTTTCATGAGAAAACTTAGAAGTTCATGAAATTTCAACAAGTCAAGTTCTTAATAATTCTCCAATCTCCGTTTTGTTTCACACTGTTTACATACAACTGCGAAAACTCTTATATTCAGAATGGCTTGAAAAGTTTTTGGTCTTGAACATAACTATTCAAGGACAAAACTACGATCAACATACGAATGTATGGCTATAACTATCACACACGAAAGAAAATGTAAACAAATTTTTGCTACAAAATCTTTAAACATTTTGACTCCATTCACTCAAGATCTTAACATTTATGAGTTCATGATCTTGACTTCTTGGTGTCCAAGATCGGATATTCCTTCTTTTCAAAGTGAATCCATATAGCACTAGACCAAAACACAAGACGTTTTCAGAAGTGATACAAGTCAGTTTTTTCCTCAAGTGTTTAGTAAAAGTGATATTTTGATCTCTTTTTATCTAAACGTGTTTCGAGTTAGAAGGTTGCATTTATGACGAATCAAAGATCCTTTTGCTTCAGTCAAAGTAAAATTTCCCAGGAAGAAAGAGTTTTTTATTCCATAAATTTGACCTTAAATTGAAGCTGAAAATATGGACTATAAAACTGATTGTTATTATTTTGAAAAATCGAGATTCATGCAAAGCTTTTGATAAAACTATCAAAATTGTTTGAGTCTTCTATGGTGCTGATATTTTTTCTAAAAAATAAACGGTTGAGTTAGATTTGAAAATTATGGTTTTAACTAGCCTTTTCAAAATATCTCAGCCTTCTGCTGAGTTCGTGGGTTTTTGAAGATGGTTCATTCGTTATGTTGCTGGATTGGGTTGCAGGAGATATACTTCATTAAAATCCTACAAAAATTTTGTCCACAAGCCGTTTTTACTTCAGAAATTCTGGAAGCATCCTGCTGACTGAACACATGAAGCATTCGAACGTGTTGACGTTGATTGAAAATGTAATCAGCAACGTAACGAATGAAGGATCCGTTCAAAAACCCACAAACTCAGCAGAAAACTGAGATATTTTGAAAAGGCTAGTTGAAACCATAATTTTGCCCATTTAACTGTTTATGTTTTAGAAAAACTATCAGCATCATAGAAGGACTCAAACAATTTTCGATAGTTTTACAGAAAACTGTGCCTGAATCTCCATTTTTCAAAATAACAGCAACCAGTTTTATAGTTCGTATTTTGTTGTCTAAGCGAAAGGTAGAACGCTGAAGTTGAATAAAAAAAAGTATTTTTTGAAAGCAGCCTATTGTCTTAATAATGTGCTGCTTACCTTATTCATAAGATCACTATATCTGGTAGACATTGAACTCCATTGACACGATTCGTCAATATGTTCTTGATGGCGATGAGTTGGTAATAATCGAATTCCACTATTGGTATGTACATGTTCAAATTTATGATGAGAATTTGGCTGTGATAATCGGCGTTGTTCAGTGGGAGTCGGTTTGATAATTCTATTTTTAGAATCTAATCTGCCTGCTTTATTCATCGGATTCACCGTTGTATATTTAGAGACAGGTGAAAGATTATTATGTCGTTTTGTGAAATACTTCATTCACTTCAAATTTTCGAAATGAACTTACACCCGTTCACTGGAACAAAACATGTTTTTTATTTTGTGATTAAAGCACTTATGACATACACTATACAAAAACAAGAAAATAAATTACTATTTCTCTTTCTCTGTCCAGAATATTCATATTTATGTTTTTATCATACTACTAAAATAATAATATATTTAGTTTCTTATTCTATTGCATCTAACTGATAAAATCTATTAACAGGTTTATATTCTCTCTCTCTGTCGCTCTGTTTTAGTTCTTGGTAGTATTAAACATCAAATATTATGTTTCCATATTATTATTAAATCAAGCTTGAAAGATATGATAAATTTATCATTACTTACCTCGTTTTTTCTCATATATGGTTGGTATATAGACGAAAAATATAATAACAGATAAAGTAGAAGCACAGTTCTATACTTCAATATGATCAGATTTCTTCATTAGAATAAAATATCAAATAAAGCTAATTTACATTTTTAAAATGGCTTCTTATTTTAATAAAGAAGAGAAAACGAGCGCTTTTCGTTTGGGAAAAAACTGTCATAGTTTATCAATAATTTTAAAGGGATTCTTTGATATGTGGATATGAATTGCATAGAATTGCTATTTCTATAATAGATGCTATTATACAGTATATGAAAAATGAAATATTCATTAATACCAGGATAACTGTTTACTTTCAAAACGCTTATTAATATCCATTTTAATGCACAATGGAGTCGGTTGTAAGTTGAATAACTCCGGATAGGAAGCAGCTAGAGACCTGCGGTTTTCAACATTCGAAAGAAAATAATATTCTTTATTAAGAAATGTCGAAAGCTG